ATCTCATTGTGGGTTTGATTTGCATATCCCTTATGATAATAATATTGAGCATCTTTTCATTGCTTTGTGGCCATTTGCATATCTTCTTTGGAGGAACAAATGTCTGTTCCAGTCCGTTGCCCATTTTTTTAAAAAAAGACTCAGGGTCTGGCTATGTTGCCCAGGCTGGAGTACAGTGGCTTTGCCCATTTTTAAATTGGGTTGTCTTTTTATTCTTGAGTTGGAAGAGTCCTTTATATTCTGAATACTAGATCCTTATTAGATATGCAGATACTGTCTCCCATTCTGTGGGCTGTCTGTCTACTCTTGGTTGTGGCTTTGAAGTATAAAAGCTTCTGATTTTGATGAATATGAATTTATGTATTTTTTTTTTTGTGCTTTTAGTTTAGTTGTAACTGCAAATTTGAGATGACATAGTAATATTCTAAGTCCTAGCTTTATAGTGATGTTACCAAGCTATAACTCAAATATCTCTAATTCATTGTTTACTTTAAAAAAATAGATAACGGGCCAGGCACAGTGGCTCACATCTGTAACCCCAGCACTTTGGGAGGCGAGGCAGGTGGATCACAAAGACAGGAGATCAAGACCATCCTGGCCCACATGGTGAAACTGCGTCTCTACTGAAAATCAAAAAAATTAGCTGGTGTGGCGTCACCCGCCTATAGTCTCAGCTACTCAGGAGGCTGAGGCAGGGGAATTGCTTGAACCCTTGAACCTGGAAGGCAGAGGTTGCAGTGAGCCAAGATTGCGCCACTGTACTAGCTTGGCAACAGAGCAAGACTCCATCTCAAAAAAAAAAAAAAAAAAAAAACAGACTAACCTGGCTAACAGTCAAACCTTGTCTCTCCTGAAGATACAAAAATTAGCCGGGAATGGTGGTGGGCGCCTGTAGTCCCAGCTACTTGGGAGGCTGAGGCAGGAGAATAGCTTGAACCCAGGAGGCGTAGGTTGCAGTGAGCCCAGTGCGTGCCACTGCACTCCAGCCTGGGTGGCACAGTGAGACTATGTCTCAAAAAATAGGTAACATCTTAATTTTTTACCTTGAAATCTTATAATAATGCCTGTGAAGAAGGCATTATTATAGAAGAAGTAACTATGTTTTACTTGATTGAGCTTAAATATGCTCACTGAAAATGCTGGCTTATGGCTCTTGGAGATTATTGTTATGGTAGAAATAAGGAAGTATTTGTATATTATTGTACTCCTCATCTACCGTCCTATGTGTCAGACCTCTATTTTAATACTTCATCTGTGTAATGTTGCCTCATTTGGCTATTGTAATTACCCATCAAGGTTGATGTATTATGCTCGCCTACATATAAAGAAGCTGAAGCTTGAAAAGGACCAATAACATTACCAAGATCTTATAGTTCTAGGAAATGGCAGAGCATGGATTTGAATCTAGATCTGTCATATATGTATATCGTATTCTTGACCCTAAATCACCTATTACTCCCTCTTTTTTACATCTCCTTGAGAGGGATGTTTGTATCCTACATGGTCTTGGGTATACTGAACACGTAGTACAAGTTTGAATATCATGGCTTATAAAAACACATTTTTTCTGTTAACAGATAGGAGCACCAACAATGTGATAAAATAGTGTGATAGCTGTAGTTTATCTTTCAGCCAGTAATGTGAACTACATTTGGCTCTGGGAATTAAAGAAGAGTCTTTCTTTCTCTTGCATCATCTATAGGAGATGCTGCAGTCTCATAGACTTGGACATGTATTCTTTTTCTTTTTTTTTTTAAATAGCGGTGAGATCTCATTCTGTTACCCAGGCTGGTCTCGAACCCCTGGGCTCAAGTGATCTTCCTGCCTTAGGCCTCCCAGAGTGCTGGGATTACAGGTTGAGCTGTTGTGCCTGGCCAAGACTTGACATTTAGAGACAGGTGATGCTTGGAGAAGGCTAAAGTACAGCTTCTTGTTTGGTAATAGTAGTCACTGAGTTCACAAAGGAGCACTGCCACTGCTGGGGAAAGGGCAGTGGGATAAGGGTCAGGTGACTAGTTCATGTCCTTACTACCCATCAGTATGACCTTGAGCAAATCACTTTCCTTTTCCGGGTTTAAGTGTAACTAAGGGTTTGAAATAGATCATCAAATATTTCTGTTTCTTTTAAAATTCCTTGATATCAGAAAGGTGTCTGTCTTGGTCACTGCTGTATCCCCAACACGGTAGAGCTTGGTACATCTGAAACTACTGAAGTAGATCTCACCTTTTTTAGTTAGTAATCATAGCACCTTGTGCAAGTTTCTTGACACATTTCCTCATTTGTAAAATGGACTTAATAGATTACCTGATTCTATAGGGTTTATAGTGAAGGTGAAATTAAATATATGTGAAGTATTTAATAGTGCCAAGCACATAGTAACACTCAAAGTTTGTTGTCACTGAATTAATATGTGATTACCTATTTTGTGTTTAACTCATTCAGAGCATCATAGTTACTTCTTTTTCTTAGTTTTTGGGTTTTTTTGAGACAGAGTTTTGCGCTGTCACCCAGGCTGGAGTACAGTGGCACAATCTCGGCTCACTGCAACCTCTGCCTCCCAGGTTCAAGTGATTCTCCCGCCTCAGCCTCCTGAGTAGCTGGGATTACAGGCGCCTGCCACCACACCCAGCTAATTTTTGTGTCTTTAGTAGAGATGGGGCTTCACCATGTTAGTCAGGCTGGTCTCAAACTCCTGACCTAAGGTTGATCTGCCTGCTTTTGCCTCCAAAATGCAGGGATTACAGGTGTGAGCCACTGCACTTGGCCCATAGTTATTATTAAAGACCCTTCAGCGAAGTATTTATTTGAATTGGCTGGAACACAGTGCAATTTTCAGAAAGGTCATAGTTTTATTCCTTGAGTGTTATTTTTAGCTTTTTCTTCCAACCATGACCTTACCAGAGAGCGAGTAGAAAGGGAAAGAAACAAAATTAATGCAAATATATTACATCTACTTGGAAAACAGTTGACACCGTATGTTATATTGATGATATGTTAGAAGAATGAACTTAATGCTTAGGAGACCATTCTTTTTTAAGGAACTTTTAGAAGTATGATTCTTTATCGTTAATTGATTCTTGGTCAGAAGTGGATCAGAAAGCCTGGAGATGTGGGTCAAAGAAAATGTCAATGATAGAATACAGGCCCACAGTCTGTTTTTTTTGTTGTTGTTGTTTTTAAAATTTTATTTTAGAAATGGAGTCTCACTCTGTCCACACAGGCTAGACTGCAGTGAGTGGCATGATCATGGCTCATGTAACCTCAAGCTTCTGGGTGCGAGCAGTCCTCCCGCCTCATCCTCCCAAGTAGCTAGGACTACAGGCATTATGCCCAGCTAATTTTTTATTTTTATTTTTTGTAAGGAGGAGGTCATGCTGTGTTGCCCAGACTACTGCAGTTTGTTAATTCAAATTATTAGGGTCTGATACATTTGGTAATTCCAAATTTTTCAGATTTTATGAAGATAATTTAGTACATATATCATAGATTATGTAATACCCCCAGAAGGATTTGGGCACTTCAGGAACCAGGCATTAACATTTCTCTAGTCGTAATGTTCACATTACATGGCATAAATAGAACGCAAATAGCATTACACGTGTAGAGATTAGGTTTAGCTGCCAAATGAGTTTTTAAACCTATCAGAAATCTAGAAATCTTTTGCTTTTCAAAGGTTTTTGGTCTGGGAATATGCAGATAAGGGATTGAAGACTTCATTTATTCACAAAAATGTCATGCCTATAGAAATTCTTGTTTAATAATACATTTTAAGTCACTGTTAGTTTCCTTTTCCAACAACTTTAATGTTTTACTGTTTCTAGATGACTCTAAATAGGAAGAATTTACAGAATTTTAAGATCAGGAGAGATCTTTAAACAACAAATAATTCAAACAGTTTATAATAACCTGTCATGATTTCTGTTGAACTTAAATTTTTATTTATGAGGCATTGGGTTAAATTAAAATGATGTAACTCTTTGTTACCAGAATAAAAGCTAATAGTTTTATTCTCGAAGGCCACGCCTAATGTCCGTCACCTTTAAATGAAAAATTACGTGACTAGAACCCTTTACTTGATTTTATATTTAAGAAATAAAGTGATACTTTGAGAGTCTTCGCTTGCTTTTTCCTTTGGTGTGTTCAGTGAGGAATATGCGCTGGTTTTTTCTGGTTTTTGAGATATCTTGTGTTTCACTGATTTGTAGGGTGCCTGTTTTTCTTTTTTTTTTTTGAGAAGGAGTCTTAACTTTCTCGCCAGGCTGGAGTGCAATGGCGGGATCTTGGCTCACTGCAACCTCCACCTCCCGGATTCAAGCGATTCTCTTGCCTCAACCATAACTATCCTGCTTTCTAAAGTGTTAAAGTATGAAAACAGGAACCCTAGGCCAGGCGCAGTGGCTCATGCCTGTAATTCCAGTACTTTGGGAGGCTGAGGCAGGCAAATCACGAGGTCAGGAGATTGAGACCATCTAGGCCAACATAGTCAAACCCCATCTCTACTAAAAATACAAAAATTAGCCAGGTGTGGTGGTGAGTGCCTGTTATCCCAGGTATTCAAGAGGCTGAGCAGGAGAATCACTTGAACCTGGGAGGTGGAGGTCGCAGTGAGCCAAGATTGTGCCACTGCACTCCAGCCTGGGTGACAGAGTGAGACTCTTTCTCAAAAAATAAAAAAGTCATAATAAAACACTATATCATAGTTAAATCATTTTTTCTTTATTAATGATATATAAAGAAGTGATTTATCCAGATATAGTATATGAAGTAAATATTAGACTAAATGCAATAGAATGTGAACGTATTTGATTAGATGAAATATGACAGATTAAATTAATATTAAAGTAGAATATTTGGCTACAAGCTATAGGTGGTGCTGTTGCTCCTTATCTGATTTTATTCCTCTTTAGATGCTTTCTGTGATTATCCCGTGAACCTTATTTCTGGCTAGTCCCTGTTTTACCATCTTGGGAATTCAATATGAAATTGTTTTATTTTATAGGCTGGAGCACTGGATTTGCTAAAGGAGCTTAAGAATATTCCTATGACCCTGGAATTACTGCAGGTATGTGCTTTTATGCATCACAGTTTTATAATAGGTAGTTGTCATAAAATACTGAAACATCTTCGGTCCCAATAAGTTTTTGTACTGTCTTGATAATGGTGTAAACCATTATTAACTGCTATTTTTTTTTTTTTTACACATGGCAATATAAATCAGTAATCTACTAAGTTGCCATTATAGAGCAATGTCGCCCTTCTTAAGAAGAATAAAATCTGAATCTCTAAAGTTGGCGGTAGCAGTGAAATCTCACTGTGAGAGGAAGTTTGATTCTTGGCTCTAATTTGGTCTCCTAAGATTTCCCTTTCTTGATCTATTATTGATAGCTGCTGCCAGCATGAATCTAGCTTCAGGATAAGGACAGCAATGTGTCACTCCTCTCCCTTTTTTTTTTTTTTTAAGGACCAGTCAAGCATGTACACAGTTGATGTCTGGTAGACATTACAAAGATTCATTAATGAAGTCCTATTCTTTATTGATAATATTTGTACATGTTTATTGGGTTATCTGTGATATTTGGTTTCATGCATAGAATGTGTAATGATGAAATCAGGGTATTTAGGGTATTCCTCACCTTCAGTATTTACCATTTCTGTGTGTTGGAGCATTTCAAGCCCTCCCTTCTAGCTATTTTGAAATATATAATACCTTCTTAACTTTAGTGAACCTTCTCTGCTGTGGAATGTTAGAATTTATTCCTTCTATTAACTGTATGTTTGTACCTATGAACAAACCTCTCTTCATTCCCTTGCCTTACTTATGCACCCTTCCCAGTCTCCAGTATCCATCAGTCTGCTTTCTATCTTTGAGAGGTCTGCTGTTTTAGCTCTCACATAGTAGTGAGAACCTGTGGTATTTGTCTTTCTGTGCCTGCCTTATTTCACTTAACATAACTCCGGTTCCATCCGTGTTACTGCAAATACATGATTTCATTCTTTTTTATGACTGATAGTATTTCATTGTGTGTATACACCACATTTTCTTCATCCATTCGTCCCTTGATGGACACTTAGGTTGATTCCATATCTTGGCTATTGTGAATAGTGCTGCAGTAAACATGGGAGTGCAGATATCCCTTTGTTAAACTGATTTCTTTTTTTTTGAGACGGAGTTTCACTCATGTTACCCAGGCTGGAGTGCAATGGCGCGATCTCGGCTCACCGCAACCTCCGCCTCCTGGGTTCAGGCAATTCTCCTGCCTCAGCTTCCTGAGTAGCTGGGATTATAGGCATGCACCACCATGCCTAGCTAATTTTTTGTATTTTTGATAGAGACGGGGTTTCACCATGTTGACCAGGATGGTCTCTATCTCTTGACATCGTGATCCACCCGCCTCGGCCTCCCAAAGTGCTGGGATTACAGGCTTGAGCCACCGCGCCCGGCTAAACTGATTTCTTTTGGATAAATATTTAGTAGTGGTATTGCTGGATCATATGTACTTTAATTTTTAGTTCTTGAAAAATTTCTGTACTGTTTTATATAATGGCTATGCTAATTTACATTCCCATTAACAGCGTATGAGTTCCTTTTTTTCTGTGTCTTCACCAGCACCTGTTATTTTTTTTGTCTTTTCAATAATAGCCATTCTGGGCTCGGCTCAGTGGCTCACTCCTGTAATCCTAGCACTTTGGGAGGCTGAGGTGGGCAGATCACCTTAGGCCAGGAGTTCAAGACCAGCCTGGCCAACATAGCGAAACCCCATCTCTACTAAAAATACAAGAATTAGCCGGGTGCGGTGGTGCACACCTGTAGTCCCAGCTACTCAGGATGCTGAGGCAGGAGAATCAGTTGAACCCAGGAAGCGGAGGTTACAGTGAGCTGAGATTGCACCACTGCACTCCAGCCCAGGCCAGACAGAACGAGATTCTGTCAAAAAAAAAAAATAATAATAATAATAATGGGGTGGGGAGTTGGGAAGAGATAGCATGAGGAGAAATGCCAGATATAGGTGATGGGGAGGAAGGCAGCAAATCACACTGCCATGTGTGTACCTATGCAACAATCTTGCATGTTCTTCACATGTACCCCAAAACCTAAAATGCAATAAAAAAAAAAACTGTATAAAAAAAATAGCCATTCTGATGAGTAAGATGGTGTCTCATGGTGGTTTTGATTTGCCTTTCTTCAATGATTAGTGATGTTGAACATTTTTTCATATACCTGTTGGCTGTTTGGATGTCTTCTTTTGAGAAATATCTATTCATGTTCTTTGCTCACTTTTTTTTTTTTTTTTTTTTTTTGAGACAAGGTCTCTCTCTGTGGCCCAGGTTGGAGTGCAGTGGCATGATCATGGCTGACTGCAGCTTTTACCTCCTGGGCTCAAGTGATTCTTACACCTCAGCACCCACACCATACCCCCTACCCCTCAAGTAACTGGGGAGTAAAGGAGCATGCTGTCACGCTTGGCTAATTTTTAGTTGGGGTTCTGCCTATGTTGCCCAGGCTGGTCTTGAACTCCTGGGCTCAAGCAGTCCTCCAGCCTTGGCCTCCCAAAGTGCTGGGATTGCAGGCGTGAGCCACTACAGCCAGCGTTTTGCCCACTTTTTAATGGGATTACTTGTTATTTTTGGTTGTTGTTCTTGAATTGTTTGACTTCCTTGTGTATTGCTGATATCAGTCCCTTGTCACATGAATAGTCTGCAAATATTTTCTCCTATTCAGCAGATTGTCTCTTTACTCTGTTGTTTCCTTTGTTGTGCAGAGCTTTTTTTTTTTTCTCCTGAGACACAGTTTCACTCTGTGGCCCAGGCTAGAGTGCAGTGGTGCAACCTGCGACCTCCGCCTCCCGGGTTAAGTGAATCTCTCGCCTCAGCCTCCGGAGTAGCTGGGATTACAAGCACCTGCCACCATGCCTGGCTAATTTTTGTATTTTTAGTAGAGAAGAGATTGTGTCTCAGTATGTTGGCCAGGCTGGTCTCAAACTCCTGACCTCAGGTGATCCGCCCGCCTCGGCCTCCCATAATACTGAGATTACAGGCATAAGTGAAGTCTTATTTTAATGTTCCATGAAGACTGAAACATAAAAATAAAACTTGACAAAAGTCAAAGTGTTAAAAATGAAGCAATATAGCCAATAACATGAATATGGTTATTTTCTGCTTGACATTTTTTATTATCCACAAGTACTTTCTTGGATATTTCTATTGTATTATGTCAGAATTTAGAGAAAGATGGCAGGGGTATGTGAACATGATTCAGAAAAAAAGTCAGGTTTATTTTCATTAATGGCTAACTGAAATTGAACATTTCTTTCAGTTGTGAAAACACTAAACCACAGTTGTATTACCAGTATTTATGACTGAAACTAAAATAATTCACAAATGTTTTAACTTCAGTTTACTTACATTGTAAAAGTATTGAAATTGTTCATTATTATTGTTGCTGTTATACCTTATGCTACGTCTTACTTAATGTTTTAATAAGGGAGGGTTAGGCACAGTGATTCACGCCTATAATCCCAGCACTTTGGGAGGCCAAGGCTGGTGGATTGCTTGAGCCCAGCACTTCAAGACCAGCCTGGGCAACACAGCAAAACTCTGTCTTGATAAAAAAGAAAAACAGGCCGGGTTGCAGTGGCTCATGCCTATAATCCCAGCACTTTGGGAGACTGAGGCGGGCAGATCACTTGAGGTCTGGAGTTTGAGACCAGCCTGATCAACATGGAGAAACCCTGTCTAAAATTAGCCAGGTGTGGTGGCATGTGCTTGTAATCCCAGCTACTCAAGAGGCTGAGGCAGGAGAATCACTTGAATCTGAGAGGCAGAGGTTGCAGTGAGCCGAGATCGTGCCATTGCACTCTAGCCTGGGCAACGAGAGCAAAACTCCGTCTCAAAAAAAAGAAAACAGAGGTCAGGTGCAGTGGCTCATGCCTGTAATCCTACCACTTTAGGAGGTTGAGGCAGGCGTATCACGAGGTCAGGAATTTGAGATCAGCCTGGCCAACATGGTGAAACCCCATCTCTACTAAAGATACAAAAGATTAGCTGGGTGTGGTGGTGCACACCCTACAACTTGGGAGACTGAGGCAAGAGAATTGCTTGAACCCAGGAGACGGAGGTTGCAGTAAGCCAAAATCACACCATTACACTCCCTCCTGGGCGAAAGGGTGAAACTCTGTCTCAAAAAAAAAAAGAGAAAAGAAAAACACAAAAATAAGGGAGCATATACATTACTATCTTACATTTTAAAATATTTTGTAATTTATATTATATAATTAGGTTTTTTTTTTGCAATCCTATGTATTTTATTTAATCAATTTTTAATGCATTCTGAGAAGGGATCCATAAGCTTCACCAGACTGCCAAAGGGATCCATGGTGCAAAAAAAGGGTAAGAACTCCTCTAGGCCGCCCACATGGGGAAACCCCAGTCAACATGGTGAAACCCCGTCTCTACTAAACCCCATCTCTACTGAAAATACAAAAACATTAGCCAGACGTGGTGGCACATGCCTGTAATCTCAGCTACTCAGGAGGCTCAGGCAAGAGAATTGCTTGAACCCAGGAGGCAGAGGTTGCAGTGAGCCGAGATTGTGCCACTGTACCTCAGCCTGGGCGACAGAGCGAGAGTCTGTATTGAGAAAAAAAAGAACTCCTCCTCCTCTATCTGTAGACCCCAGAAAGAGAAGGGAGAGAAAGGAAGTAAGTTATGAAGCCTGCCTTCTCAATTCAGGTTCCAGTCCAATGATCAGCAACTTCTCTTGCAAATCAGCTCTAAGAATAAACTTTCTTTTGAGATAGGCCCTTACCAAGGCATAACTTTATCCTCACAGACCTATGTGGGGAAATCCATGTCAGAAACAACATAGTAATCCTAATATTTATTTAACAGGTATGTGTAGAGTTAGAGAGTATGGAGGTTGGATAGGATTAATATTTATGACTCTAATTTTTTCCTGTGCTTCCTTCTTTGAACCACCTATGTATTTATTTAACAAACATTTGAGTTTTTACTATGGATAAGAATAAGATAAGGCCTTTCCCCCCTCATAGAGTTTAAATTCTA